TTTCATAGCTGCACCTCTTTCGACCATGTCATGGATTTGGGTTGCATAAGCGATTTTCCATTCTGGCTCTTTGCTCAGCTGCTTTTCCATCCTTAAGAAACAAGCCTGAATTGCCCTTTTGTTGTTAGGGAGGGAGACGGGATCTTCAGTCCAAGGATACTTTGCATCCCAATGTGGAGATGGTGTGTGAGCATCTTTCTCCATGTATGTGAGCCCTCCTTTAATGATCTCATACTCTTTCTCCTCAGCCAAGGTCATGTCTCTTCCTCCTGGCGAACAATTTCCGCATCGACAACCTCCACATCTTGGCTCGCATGCGGCTCCGATGCTGTCCCAGTGCCACCACTCAAGGAACTCACGGTTACTGGTAGATGTAAATCTGGACAGAGACGCATCTTCCTGCAATTGCCAAGCTGGCTTGGTTGCTGGAACTGTAATTTCTTGATATTTGACAGCAGCAGTTCGCAAAGAGCGAGCAAAGTGGGCTCTTGATTCATATGCTGTCACCTCTACTTCTTCAAACAAATCAGGATGAGCTCCGCCCACTGTTTTTCCCAATGGGCCTTCCCACAAAACAAGGTCTCCAATGACTCTAACTCTTTGGGGTGCAAGTCTTCCCTCTCGATGGCTTATGAGAAGCTCAACTTCCGCTGGTCTTTTCAGATCTTCGAGCTGGACGTCTGGGAAGAATCTTTTCAACTTTTCAGGCTGAATTGCTTGATAAACTTTTGCAATTTCATCCAAGCCATAGCAGACTAGTTGATGTGCTCTTTCAGTCCCCTTTTGAGTTTTGACTCTGACTTTTAGGAGGTACCTTTTTGTTATAACGTCCATGGTCATTCCACCAACTCCATGTACAACCAGGGTTATTTCTTCACCCCTGAGGCCCAATCTTTCCGCAGCTCTGTGAGTTATGTAATTGGTGTCTGATGCTAGGTCAATGAGGGTGCCTATCTTCTGACCTGCATTGGCCGTTACTTGCATCAGCATCATAATCACCGGAAGTTCAACCAGCTCATTCCTCTTCAGTAATTCAGACTGGCCTGCAGCTTTGAGTGTAACTGAAGATTTGTTTGTGAATGCCTTTCTGCACTGATCTGCTAGTTCAGGGGAAAGTAGTGATAAGAAATCTTCCTGTTCTTCTGTGAACTTTCCTTTTCCTCCATATTTTCCAACTGTGCCCCCTTGTCCTTTGGTTTCAGCTTTTGGACACAGGAAATAATGGTGGTCTGGCCCAGTTTCTCCCCTTTTACAGTACGTGTTTTTGCATAGGAAATTGTCTTTGCAGTATCTGTCATCATCATGGTATCCTAAGCATTTATTGCATGCTCCCAGCTTCTTCAAAACAGACTTCTTTTCAGATAGCTTCAAAGCTTTAAATTTCTTGCAGAAGAATATTTTGTTGCTGTGCCCATAATCACCACAGACACCACAACCCTTGTCAACTTCTTTTGTTGTAGCTCTGGCTGATGTAGACCTTCTTTCATGCCTTTTCTCAGACTTGTCCACCTTATCCACACTTCTCAGTTGTTCAAGTCTTTCCAATATCTCTTCTTGGTTCTTCAGGAACTTCAAGAGCGTGTCAAAGTGAGTATCTGCTGTGACATTGTTTTTAGGGTTAACTAGAAATGTTAGCCAGTCTCTTTTTATGAAGTCAGGTAACTTGCTTTCAATGGACTTAATGACTAACGGATTTTTTATGGCTCCAATGTTCCCCAGCTCTGTCAGATCTGCCAGGGCTTTCTCTACAGATTGAATCAGGTCAATGACTCTCCTCGGCTGGTTCCCCTTCACCTGCGGCATTTTGTCTAATTCTTCAAGGATTTCAACTGTAATGGTAGACTTGTTGCCGTATCTATTTTCCAGGACTCTGAACATATCATCTGCAGTTGTATAAGTTGACAGTCTCAGCTCCTTCACGATGGTCTCACTTACACTCTCCAGGAGCTGAATCTTGAGCACCTCAGGTGAGCCAGTGGGCTCTCCCTGCCTTTGCAGGCTCTCCCAGTCTTTTTTCCACCTGTAGAACTCTCTCATATTACCCTGGAAGACAGGAAGGGTAGTTGGTTTTATCTTCACAACAGGTGGTAATGGTTGGATAGGTTTACCGTTCGTGCCTTGATCAGCTAGCCTCCTTAATATGGCAAATTCAGCTTTTCTCATTTTTAGCCTGCAGTGGGCTGCTCTCAGTCCTTTCAGTCTCCCATTCATTTCATCTCTTGATGAGTCAGGAATCCACCTCTCCCACACAGACATAGTTGAGATGACTGCACTAACCTTTTCACCTAATAAAGTGAGGTGAACCTCATAGCCCTCCAAATTGTCACTTTTGACTTGCATATTTTCAGCTTCATCAACTACTTCCTCTGCTTCATGGATTGATGTTTTAAGTTCCCTTTCTCCATATCTTCCCCACAGGTTAGCTTGTACAGCGGCAGTAACCTCCTTCATTTTATTCTCTGCATCTTTTAAAGTCATTTGAATGTCGGTCTGTTGCTGCTTATCAAGTTCTGCTTCTTCATCCACTGCCTTGACATCAGCCTCCAGTCCAATCCTGTAGTCATCATTAGAGTCAAGAACTGACCTGAACCGGTCTGAAAGTTTTCCAAATTCCTCTTCTAATTCGGTTTTCAGCATGATGTCTGCTCCTCTTGAAATATAGTTGGCTAGTCTGGTGAAGCTGCTTTTAGCGTTGGTCCTCTCCTGCTTCAGCAGTTTGACCGTCTTCCCCAAGACCTCTTCTGCCATCTTTATTTTCTCTTGCGTCCACAGCCTTTCTGGTTTGAAGCCCTTTATCTCCTTTTCCAGGGTGCTCTGTGGTTATCAACTGTCAAGCTCCACACTAGTTTCACTCTAAAGGGACACTTTGGGACAACTCCATCACATTCCATCAATTTTTATTGTCAGTTCAGTGAACATTAGGTTGATAACCTTCAAAGAACAGAGATAAGTGTTAGATATCACATCATTTATATAAAATACAATAAACAAAGAACTTCTAAACTAAATCTTACCACACTAACAGTGTAAACAATTAAATTAAAGCATGACTTCAAAGGTCACCCAAAACAACTTCATATCATAAATAAAACAATAGTTACCAACCATTGGCGTCTTTAGAGTCAACTCATTGTTAGAGCTTGCTGTGCTGTTCCTGTTTGACTAAGGACTGAGAGCCACCACCCTGCATAGGTGTTTTTTATCACCAATCAGTCGCCATTTTGTTGGTGCATTCTGGGAGATGTAGTTCTCAGTGGTGGTGGACCAGTTAGACCTCCATTTACTCAACTTTAACCCAACAGTACTTGCTTTTAAACATTGCCAATTATACTCTCAAGCCTTCCACTTGCAGTTCAGGGTATTTCTGAGCTGCTGCATCGCTCATTGTGGGAGTCAGGAGCAATGCCTCCAATTCTTTCAGAGTTTGGATGCCTGGTTGCATAAACATGTGACTGATTTGAGCATCTACTGTGTCTAAGAAAGGGTAGTACTCTGTTCTGTAAAACTCCACAGAAGAACTAGGTGTTTGTGCAGGAGCTTGCTCAGAATATCTTTTAGGGAGCCTATCTGTGCGTGGTAGAGCAATGGGCTCTAGACACAGTTTGTCACTCATGTCCTCTGCCTCCTTAAAGATCGCCTCAACGTGTTTCGTGTTTCTTTTTGATTTGAAACTGCTTTTGACAAGGGAAACTGCAGAGAGCATGCCTTCCATTGTCTGTGTGTTTTTCTGGAGAGGTGCATTTAGCATCTCTAGTTCGCTGATCATGTCTAATGCAAGCCTAAGCCCCAGTACTACATTACCCTATTGCAGTCGAGCATGTAAGCTCTCTGCCCGACTGGCAGATTCAGAGGTACTTGTGGGCATCTGATCCAGTGACTCCAGTACTATCCCATATTGCCTAAGAATGGCACGAATAGCAGGTGAGCGTACAGTCCACCTTGTGGGACAAAAAGGTCTGATGGACTGGAATGACCCTTCCCCTTCTGAAATAGTGAAGGCTTTAAATGTGTCTTTCAGCTTACCAGACTGACCAAAAAATTGCCAAACTCATGAATCCAGTCAAGTGCATTGCGTTATTTCTACATCAATCACGTCCCAGAGAAGGTTAAACAAACATTAAAGAAGTTGTCACTCCCCCCTCAGAGTCTTACTCCACCCACGTATCAATTTTAAAAACTGCAACATTAGTAGGCGTTGCCTGGAGGACCGAGAGGGCGGAGCCGCGGCAGTGACGAAGACGACGGCTAACTAGACGATGCTAGCTCCCTTCACTCTGAGCAGTCATTAGAAGTGGAGGACGTTTCTCCCCCTCCTTACACAGACACTCGAGAAGAAAGGGACCAAGTCTATTTGGAGGAGACAAGCGGACCTGAGCCTTATTGTTTTGAGCTTGTGAGTTGCCTGAAATTACCGGAACCAACCCAACAGAACCATCTCTGAATGTAAGTAGCCGTTAGCCATAGCATCAGATTAGCTGCAGGGTTTGTCTCCACGGCCCTAGAGCTAGTATTCAGCATGTGTTAGAGGTTTATCTGCTTCAACACACCTGGTTTTAATCAGCAACAAATAGCTGAGCTGCTTAACAGCTAATCTAACCTGTTAAAGCAGGAAAACCACTGAAACGTGCTGGATAGCAGCTCTCCGGTAGCCCTAGGCTCAAGTTACAGTCTGCTGCATACAAAGTTATGAAAATATCCCATGAGAAAATTATTCTGTAATGTGTTCAGCCCACTAAAACTGCCCTGATTTCTTTATTTATTTACTAATAACAGCTGCTCTCTCGGTTCTAGGTCCTCTGGTGTCTGCAGGTGGTCTCCTCTGCTGGTGTCGTCAGGATCAGGAGCTTCCAGAAGAATGTGCCTTTCAATGACTCTTTCCCCCTTATTTGTTATATTAATTAAATAAATCTCAATTGATATATTTCCTATTTTTGTTCATGTCCATAAATACTTAAACATGCTTGAAATTAAAACGAGCTTTAACTGTGAGGTGCTAGTTTAATTCATCACAATAGAGCTAGTTAAACATGCGACAATGTGATAATTCAATTAATGTAATTTATAAATATCCATTAAAATATCAAAACTGGAATCAAAATGAGATATTTGGCAGCACAAAAAACTTGTCAAACACAATATTTATTATAATAATTGTAGGCAGACAGGAGACAGAGCTGATGGAGGTTCTCAGTCATCGAAGGATGGCTGAAGGCTTTCCAGGAACAGGAGATGTGGTGTTGTCTCTTCTCTCTCTATTCTGCCAGATGAGCTGATAGGTTACAGGTGTGTGAGGACATCCTCATGCTGTCATAACCAGATGACAGGAGTTATCAGGTGATCAGCCAGGCTAATGATGAGATGCAGAAAGAAAACAAATCCAGGACAGTGTACAATAATATGTGGTGTTGCTCACCTTATGTGCTCTTATAAGTATTAACTTGTGCCTGCCTCATGGTGTAGAGTCCATATTTTGCTGAGTGTCCTGCAATAATGCAGGTTATTAGTTAATTTACTTTTGATAGCAAAACCAAAATATTTAATGTAAAAGTTATTTACCAGGTGAATCAGCTCACACGTCACCACCAAGTGTCACAGGGCCAGAATCAGTAGCCTCCTTCATGATGTAATCACATACTTATTTAATTGTTAATATCTTAAAAATTCTGAAATGTTTTAATTTTTTTTACCTTGAACAGTTCACTGAGCTTGCACTGTCACTGAGGTGGAAGCTGGAATAAACAGCAGACAGCTCACATCTTGGTCTTTTCAGGGGTGTGGACGCTGCTCTGACTTTCTGGAAGATGAATTTCCATCATGATCCTTGTGTCACAAGACACACTGAGGCTGTGAGCTCTTCTGGCTGGCTATGTACAAAAACAAAGAAGCAGCACATTATTAAATGTTTAAAAGAGCATAAAATCACGTGTAACAATAATCTGTAAAACAAATTAAAACTAGAAGGTAATAATAAAATGTTTACATAAAAGATTATTAAAAATAATTCACCTTTGCTACAGGTAAGGCTTCATGTCAGCCTGGACAAATGCATTCTTGCAGCTAAATCAGTCTGACAGCCAGTGTCTTGGGTAGATTTAGCCTGAAAAAAAATAGAAGCACATTGTTGTTGGGAGTTTATAAAGTCAGATAAAATACAAAAGAAACTGTACTATAAAGGCGCTTTATAACATTCCTAGTGTGTGATCGTTGTTATAACGTAAAAGTCAGTCACATATGATGTGAGCCTGAAATGCGACCTCCTGAACAGAATTCCTCACAGAACCGGGTCACAAGCTGGATTTCATGCTGTAGTTAGAGACACTGTTGCAGAATTACCGACTGACTAGCTAAAGGAAGTGAACCACTTCTCTCAGACTTTGCATTTAGGTAGGGAATTGTCTTTAGAAGATGTTAAAACTTTATTTAGCTGACTCACCTCAGACTGGAGCCCGCCGTGGTGGGGGAGCAGAGTCGGTGGGCTGCATCTAAATCACGGAAGAGCCACGGTGGGCACAGCCTCCCTCTTCAAACGGAGGCGTGCAGAATCGCGGGTAAAATGCCCACAGAGCTACCGCAACCATACTACACTACACCATCTCACCATGCTAACACGATATGGAGCACTAAACCCTAACTACTTTCCTAATTACACTAACAGCCAAACACTAACTAAACTACAATATCCAACAGCCAAGCTAACACTAAATAAGTATGTATAACACTAAAAGCTATGCTAAAGACTAGGATATGCTAATGCTATATGCTAATGCTGAACTACGGCTAGCCTCCTACACTCGCTTGCAAATCCAACTCCCAACTCGCCACAAGGCGTGGCCGAGACGCTCGTTGCTTTATAACGTTGACACAGAGCTGCTACGTAGTACTCTACTGGTTTACGTAGTATCTTACTCTTTAGCCATTGGCTAAAATTTATTCAAAATGAGTCGAATTCTATGTTTTAAGCTGAAGGTGGAGCTATACTGTAGTATTTAGGCAGAATTTTTAATTTTTAAAGAAAATGCACCAAAATGCTAAAATAATGAATACACACATTTAAAACACTATTAGACACTCATTTATACAGTTCATCAGCAAAAAAAAAGTTAATTTAGACGTTACTTGCTCTTTAAACTCAACGTTTGGAGCTTGTAAACTCCACACACCTCTCGTGCAGCACCAGCTGTCTGATGCTGCAGCAGCGTCAATCTTTCCGGCTGGATGAGTGAATTTCTTCATCAGAGTCAATAATCTACATCATAATTGGAGTCAGTCATGACCAAACAAAGTGTTCAGTCAACAAAGTCCAGACTTGCCGGCAATTATAAGTTTTATCCCGCTCATATTTGCCCTTCATGTTGCGCGCATCTCCTCGTCTCCTCGACTGGGAGCCTCTTGGCAGGAGGCGTTTTTCAAACTCTAAAAACTCCCAAACTTTGCTCAGCCTGAAGGTTACACATCTCCACTATCTTCTGATGTAAAGTAGTAACTTCATGAGGGATTGTATTTGTAGATTTGTTAAAGTCAACGATTACGTTTGTTGCAAAACTGCGACTTTGGCGCTTTTAACGAGTAAGTCCCAACACTGACAACAACGTACTGAATCTAGAACCAACATGCATACACAGACAGATCGGTCCCGCCTACTTACACTGTTGGTCTTTTTTAAATACGCAGTAATCGTTGCTTGTCTTTTTCACTTCATCCTGCATCCTAGCAGCAACCACTTTGGCGCCTCTGGAGTCGGTGTTTGTTTACGTCATGCTGCATTCAAAGTAATTGGAAAAATGACCTTTAGGCGCTAAACCTCCGATTTTGTTTACTTTCTGGCCTTAAAGGTGGGTGGGGGGACGGATCAGGGTCAACCTAACAATCTAAATCTGGAGGGGACAGACCCCCCCCCCCCCCCCCCACTCCCCCCACCCCTCACTTCAATAAACAAACCAACATCTGAGCTAAGTACAATACCTGTAAAAAATTATATCATGCCCAGGAGAGTGCACAGAGGTAATGATAAAACACCTCTGACTTCATGGTGAAGAAATAACTGAGTTCCTGGTCTGTGGCACACTGCACCGGCTTACCCCCAGTTCCTCTTCCTCCACAGCCGACCCCCAGCCTACCAGTGCACTGCAGTCACAATCCAGAAAGTTAAAACTAAATACGTAGCTAACAAATGATACTCAAACCATCATTCAACCCAAATGCAAACGCTCAGCTAACATTAATCCTTGTATTTTTTCATAGACAAGCCTTCTGAGATTGCTAATGTCCTTTCATCCATCTTCTTCCGCTTATCCAAAGTCAATTCGCAGGGGCAATAGCCTAAGCCCAGAGGCCCAGACGTCCCTGTCATGATTGCAGGTGAGGAGATGATTGACCATGTGTGAAGAGGCAGCTAAGGAGGTAAAAATGCAGGCTCAGATGAAGTAAAAATTGTTTTAATAATAGAGTGGGAACGGCACGACAAAACACAACGCTGACAGCTAACACAAACATTGATCTGACAAAGACTGGCACAAGGAGGGAGGTATAAATATACAGGGAAATCAGGAACACATGGGCAGGTAAACGAGGGACAGGTGAAAACAATAAGGGCTAATCAGGGCAGGAGAGAGACACAGTCAGGAAGGCAGGGGCAGAACGTGACAGTACCCCCCCCCCCCCCCCCCCCCCCCCCCCAAGGGGCGGATACCAGACGCCCACAAGGTCACATAACACAGGAGACTAGGGAACAGAACACAGGACTCGGAGACACGGAAACACTTTGACCTGGGACAGACTCGGGGCACAGGAACACTTGACTTGGGACTGACTGGAACACTTGAGTCGGGGCACAGGAACACTTGACTTGGGACTGAGGGACACGTAGACTTGGGACACAGGGACACGAAGACTCAGGAACTCGGACACTCGGACACTGGAAACTCGAACACTGGGTTGACAGAGCAGGTGCCTCTGATATAGGCGGCACAACTCTGGTCCTTGAGAGTTCCATGAGCTCTGGTTTGGGCTGCAGTAGCAGGACTCTGAAAAGGCTGTAGCCAGTAGGACCTGCAGGCGTAGGCCCCGCAGGCGTGGACCAGGAAGTAGACGAAGACTGCAGGAGCGACGCGAGGAAACCCAGCTCGGCAGCAGGTACTCAACATACGGTCGGAGCAGGTGCACAACCCAATTTGCTGTATCCATCGGCGGAGGCTCGGGTGAAGGGAAGCAGGAAAGGAGCAGGAAGACCAGCCCTACCACTCCGAAGAACGCTGGCGTGTGCAGGGGTTTTCACTTCCATCAAAACTCCAGGATCCACAGCTTCCTTAAAAAACAGGACGGGGCAGAACAGCAGGAGAGGAGAAATGACCCCGGCCACCCCGAAGACGAATAGGATGCGCCGGGATCTCCCAGAGGGCTCGACCACCCAGAGAACAGGTAGGATGCGCCGAAAACACAAAACTCCAGGCCGGAATCTCCCTCCGCTGAAAAAGAGAAAAAGTAAAAAAAATCCTCAAGGCAGATGTTGCAAGGCTCACCACAGATCCAGGTTGGTCAGATCATTCTGTCATGATTGCAGGTGAGGAGATGATGGACCATGTGTGGAGAGGCAGCTCAGGAGGTAAAAATGCAGGCTCAGATGAAGTAAAAATGGTTTTAATAATAGAGTGGGAACGGCAGGACAAAACACAACGCTGACAGCTAACACAAACAATGATCTGACAAAGACTGGCACAAGGAGGGAGGTATAAATACACAGGGAAATCAGGAACACATGGGCAGGTAAACGAGGGACAGGTGAAAACAATAAGGGCTAATCAGGGCAGGAGAGAGACACAGTCAGGAAGGCAGGGGCAGAACGTGACAGTCCCTCTCCCCAGCCACTTGGGCCAGCTCTTCTGGGGGAACCCCAGGGCCTGCCCTAGCCAGGCAAGAGACATAGTCCAAGCAGTGTGTCCTGAGTCTTCCTTTCGGTCTCCTCCCGGCTGGACGTGCCCGGTGTCTTTATCAGATCTGCTTGGGGGCCTGCACCTGCCAAATATGTCACAGTAGATGATTGGCTGAGGAAGATATGATACCACGTTCGTAAACAAAAAATAATAATAATAAACAAAGCACGTTGACAATAAAGATTTTGATTGGACAGAACGAATTTACGGTTGTAGTCTTAGCAGTAGTAGTCCTGTAGTGCAAACCTGTAGTCATGTAGTGCAAAAGACTGCAGATACCAGTCATAAAGGGACCTAACAGCCCATTTCAGAGAGCCTGGTACCCCATATTCACAGAGAACCCCCCACAGGGCCCCTGAGTGACATGGTAGAACACCTTCTCCAAGTTCACCAAACACATGTAGATTGGTTGGGTGAACTCTCACACATCCTCTGTGACCCTCCTTAAAGTATAGAGCTGGTCCAGTGTTCCACGGCCAGGACTAAAACCACATTGCTCCTCCTGAATCCGAGGTTCGACAATCCGATGGACCCTCCTCTCTAGAACCCCTGAATAGAGTGTGATCCCCTTCTAGTTGGAACACACCCTGCGGTCCCCCTTTTTAAATAGCAGGACCACTACCCCAGTATGCCTGTCCAATAAACTGCCTCCGACTTCCACGCACTGTTGCAGAGCCATGTCAGCCAACACAGCCCTACTTCATCTACCCCCAGAGCCTTGCCATCGAGGAGCTTTTTGACAACCTCAGTGACCTCAGCTCCAGAGATTAGAGAGTCCAACTCAAAGTCCCCAAGCTCTGTTTCCTCACTGGAAGATGTGCCGGTGGG